CTGGCCCCCCTGGTCCCCCCGCGGCCCCCCCAAAAGCCGCGCACCAAAGGTTTCTCTTACCCAGGGTCACTCTTGCGTGTAGCCGACTCGAGGCAGATCCAACCGTGGCGACGAGGAAGGCCCCAGAGGCCCAGACAACCCAAAGGTTTCGGTGCTTGTCTGATCGCGTCTCGCCAGAGGGTTCTGGTACAGCCGACCCGCATAGTAGGGATGAGCGACTCTCCAAGGGTACCCATGCATCCTTCCCTCTCGGCACATCCTTGACCGCTTTTGCTGGCCGCGCCCCGCCCGCAGAGTGTCGGCATGGCCTTCCAGGGCCCTTGCATCATTGTCGCGCGTCCTCGTTACACGGGTGGACTGGCAGAGGCTAACAAGAGAGCCGCAGAGGAGTCCCACACGGTGGGGGACGGGCAGCAGCAGCCCGAGGACGTTGGGCCTGGCAGCCGTTCCGCACGAGCCTTCCTCAACGTATTCCGGAGCCGTGCTCTCGCCACATTGCCTGTTATCCGGCGGCAAATCATGGGAGCTTGGTATACCCTATCAATTCTGCCTTTATAGCGCCGACCAGCGTCAAGTAGAGTCTGGTTGGCGATGAGACATCGCCGATTTAGCGTCGGCTCGCGGCGATCAGCGTCGATGCAGCGTAGATCTAGCACCGATTAGCGTCTAGCAGCGTCGATTAGCGTCGATTCGGAAGAGCCGACAAGTTGGTATGGAAGGCTCCCATGAGTTGCCACCGAACAGTTACATGTTCGGTCTGGGCTGCCACGATATCTTGGTACGCAAGCGGGGAAACGTGAGACTCGAGCACGCCGGAGCTCGGGCTTGCCGACGCCTTTTGACGAGGGCGTCCTGGATTTTGACGCTGCAGTTTTTGTCGGATGTCTGCAGCAGGAGTTCGCGCCAAATGTCAGACTGGGTCTCGTCGTTTTCATGATGGCACCGTCAGGCCAGCCCGAGTCCCACCGAACCCGAGTTTTACGTCGTCCAGGAGCAAATGCCGGCGTCACCCCAACATCCTGGTTCCCGCCAGCTGCAGCTGGCGGGAACCGGGTTCCAAAGACCTCGCCAAAATCCCGGTTCCCGCCGGCCGCGGGACCTGCAGGGGCGCCAGGGGCTGAAATTTCCACACCCCTGCGCCCCGCAACTGGCGGGAACCGGGATGTCCGCACGTTCTGGACAGGAACTCTCCCAAATCCTGATTCTGTGTGCGCGTCGCCCCCGGCGCGCGCACCGAGACATCTGATAGCATATGCTATGCGTCGTGGCGGGCATCTTTTTGGCCACACCGCTCGGGAAACGATGCACCACAAGATCTGTATGTACTACATGTGCGGGTCCGACGTGCGCCTCCAGGGAGGACATCTAGTGCCAGTGTGTTCCTGTACTCAGAGGGGAAAGAAACACACAGACACAATTAGTCGTCGATTCCCCAGAAAATATGGGGAAATATGGGAAGTGGGGGGGAAGACAAAAACCCAGAAAATATATAGGAAAATATGGGGGATATTTTTATTTGTGTGTATTTATGTGTGTGTCCTGGGGCCCCTTCATGTACGTTCCGAGATGCGCTGAGGTGCACAGGGCCCGGTGCTCGCCCTTCCCCCCCCGTCCAGCCGACCGCCCCCTCCTCGACCCGCCTCCCCATCCCTGCTGCCAGCGCCGCCAAGGTCCTCACTATAAGGATGCGCTGCTGTCCCCAAGGCGTCTCCCACGATTGACCTCAGGCATCCTATTCACCGCCTCCTCCTCCTCCTTCTCCTCCCCTCCTCCTCCTCCTCCTTCTCCTCCTCCTCCTCCTCCTCTTCCTCCCCCTCCTCCTCCTCCTCCTCCTCCTCTTCCTCCTCCTCCTCCTCCTCCTCCTCCTCCTCCTCTAGGCCTGCTCCCGCAGGCCCCCCAGGGCCCACAGGAGGCCGCAAAGAGACCTCCAGCGTACTTCAACCCCCCGCCGGCCTGCGAGCCGCAGCCCCGGACCCTGGCCCAGGCCGAAGGATGCGTTGCTTCATGAATGCCCTCGCAGCCTTGCCGCAGCCCTGCTGCTTTGGCCCATCCCTTGACGCCCTCGGAGCTCCACACAGAGCCTCCGATCGAGGGACGCAGCGTAGGGACCATGGCCAGGACGTCGCGGGAGCCTGTCGATGCCAATCTTGGTCATGGTCCATGCTGGCCGTGGCCGCTTCGCGGGGATGTTCCACGAATTGACGCTTCCCAGGATCTACGCTGACCAAGATCGACACGCCGTTTCCGCATTCAGTCTTGGTCATGGTCCCCGTTTCCTCCACTCCGTCCGAGGGTCCTCCTCGGACGGAGGGAGGGGGACCCTGGGACGAAGGTGGGCGCGGGAGGGAGGGAGGAGGAGAGAGGCGGAGGAGGGAGGAGAGAGACTGACGAGGAGAGGGGTGGAGGAGGATGATGATGATGTTGATGATGATGGTGAGGAGGAGGAGGAGGAGAAGGAGGGGGAGGAGGAGGGGAGGAGGAGGAAGACAATGACGATGAGGAGGAGGAGGAGGAGGAGGAGGAGGAGGAGGAGGAGGAGGAGGAGGGGAGGATGGGAGGGAGGGAGGGAGGGAGGAAGGAGAGGGGAGGGGGGCTTACCCTGCCCGCTCCCGGTGGATTTTGCTGCGTTTTGAGAGCGCCCTGCTGGGGCAGCGTTCTCTCCGTCTCGTGCCGGCGGACATCCGGGGCGCCCCCGCTCTCGGGCGCGGCGTTGATGGGGGGGCGCGAGGCACGTCTCTGCACGCACGAAATGGGTACTGAAAGAATGGGTACGATGCCCAACAGCAGCTCCTGTTCATTCTGAACAGGGCTCGCTGTCCACGCCGCCGCGGCCTGTGTCCATACGAGACAGAAGGCCGCCTGCCCAACAGCGGCCGCTGTTGGTTTGGGACAACATTTGTTGTTGGGCATCGTACCCATTTTTTCGGTACCCATGTCGGGCGTCCAAAGAGGCACGTCGGCCACGCGCGCAGAGTGGGGCAGAGGTGAAGGGAGATTGCTTCTTAGGAGGGTCGGCCCGACCGGAACGGGGACGGCGGGCACGGGCACGATGCCCCACCGCAGCTCCTGCTCGTGTTGAGCAGGGCTCGCTGTCCGCGCCGCCGCGGCCGTTGTCCGTTTGAGCCAGCGTGCCGCCTGCCCAACAGCCGCCGCTGTCGGTTTTGGACAACATTTGTTGTTGGGCATCGTGCTCATGTCTTCCGTATCAATTTCGGGCGTCCAAGAATGAGGTTGCGTCTTAGAAGGCGCGGGCCTTATCTACAGACGGGGGGCCAGCGCCTCCTAAGCTTCGAAGTGGGCTCTTGCCGAGAAGCCTTCCCCCCTCCCCCTGCTCCCTTGTCCGCGCCATCGAGGAGGGGGGGACGGTGGAGAGAGGTGTACCTTATGAGCCCGACAGGGGCTCCCTGGGGCGCAAAAGGGGCACGAAAGTGCACGTTTCCCCCCCCCCCCCCCCCCCCCCATTTATATAATATAAGCGGCGTCCGGGGCCCCGCGGCCCAGGGGGGTCGCACACCACACTTTCCCCCCCCCCCCCCCCCACCCCCACCCCCGTAACCGAATTTGCCCCGTGGGCTGCGGGGGCCTTTTTGTTTTGGCATCCAGGGTCCCGCTTTCGGAGTCCCCGAACTTTTTCCGCTTCCCCGAGGCGTCCACCTAGGCTTCTGAAGACGGCAAGAGGCCGCCAAGACGGCCCAAGAGCGTTCCAAGCCGCCCAAGATAGCCCCATGATCGGCCCAAGAGGCCCCCAAGATGCCCCAATGTCGCTCCGCGAGGACCTCCAAGAGAGCCCCAAAACGCCAATCATTGATTTCCATTGTGTGTTTCCAATATTTGTTGCTCCTCACGCTTTCGAGCGGCCGACACTCCAAGACTGCCCAAGAAGCCTCCAACGTCGCCCCAAGAGGCCCCCCCAAGACGGCCCAAGAGGGCCGCATGATCAGCCCAAGAGGCCCTCAAGACGGCCCAAGAAGATGGCCTGAAGAGGGCCTGAACACGGCTCCAAGATGGGCCAAAGAGAGGGAACGCGAACCGACCTTTCGACCTTCCCGCCCCCAGAGACCCCCAAGAGGCCCCAAGAGGCCCCCAAGTGGCTCCGCGAGGCCCCAAAGAGGCCCCAAAGATGCTTAAGTCCGACAAGCTCAACAATGCCCCCGTGGAGGTTTCAAACCTGCTTCCAAAAGGCCCCCCGAGAGGCCTTCCACGATATCATCCCAGCGAACACCTGAGAAGCCTCTAACCCACAACCGAGACACGGTTGCGGGATGGGCCCAGAGTTGCGACCTTTGGTTCGCATGGGGGGCCGTGAGGACTCCAAGAGGGTTCAGAAGGGGCCCCAGAGCCCCCAAGAGACTCCCAGGCAGCCCTTCGGAACACGTGGCCTTGGCTGCACCCCCCGACCCGCCCACCCAATGTCGAGGCCCGAGGACGCCCCCATGACGCCCGCAAGACGCTCCGGAAACGCCTCTCCCGAACACGTGGATCAGGTGACAATGATGCTGATCGTGGGTGGTCCGTCGTCGTCGTCATCGTCGTCGTCGTCGTCGTCGGTCGTCGCTGGTACGCTACAGGCCAAACCCTTCCTTGAACTTCGCAGTATCCGCCCGAAAATCACGCATGGGTGAAAGGGAGGAACCCGGAAGACCACATGGAAAAGGTCCCATGGAAATTGACACCGTCTTCGGAGTCGACTAGAACCTAAGCGCACGCGAAGCGTGCGCGTGGTCTAGTTATAGAAGAGACGACATCTGCATATTTTTTGTTGCTCTCCGCGCGGATTTCTTGGACCAGCGCCTGGGCCGCCCCGGCGGCGCCTCAGGCGCCGCCCCTTGCGCGCTCCGCACGCCAGGGACGGGGGCCCGGCGCAGATCCGAGAGAGCCGCGCGGAACGTCGAGCGTTTCGTTTATGCCGACGTTCTTCTCCGATCCCCCCCCCATGTTAATCGCCCCCCCATCAGTGAGCGCCCGACTCGTCTTTCTTCTTCACGACACGGGCTGCCGCAATGGCCGCCTGCCGCGCTCTGGTCCTGGCGGCCCTGCTCCTCGCACCGGCGAACGGGCTCGCGTCGCTGCCGAAGCGCGCCAAGGCGCCTTGACCCCCGTCCTCCCTCTCCTCCTCCTCCTCCTCCTCCTCCTCCTCCTCCTCCTCCTGCTCCTCCTCCTGCTGCTTCTCCTCCTCCGCCTCCTCCTGCTCCTCCTCCTCCTGCTCCTCCTCCTCCGCCTCCTCCTCCTGCTCCTCCTCCTCCTCCGCCTCCCGCTCCTCCTCCTCCTGCTCCTCCTCTTCCTCCTCCTCCTCCTGCTCCTCCTCTTCCTCCTCCTCCTTCTACTCCTCCTCCTTTTCCTCTTCCTCCTGCTCCTCCTCCTCCTCCTCCTCCCCCTCCTTCCCCCCCCCCTGCAGCTCTCTCGCCCCAGATCCCCCACACACTGCCCCGCGGCTTTGGGCAGCTGCCCCCTGAGAGAGAGCCCCGAGAGGGAGTTGCAGAACCAGCCTGGCACCGCTCGGGCGTGTGCCTGCCTTCTCCGTGGCGAAGTCGAGGACCATGTTGGCTCATCTTACTCTCTCCTACAATGGCCGAAAGTCCATGCAAACGGCGCTCTCGCCTCGGCGCGGGCAGCACAACGCCAGCGTCACCTGCACGTCGTGGCCAGTTTAAGAGCGAATCGACAGGATGTCTCAGCAGAAATCGGCGTTTTTAGTTCAGATGGGGGGCTGGACGACGTGGACGAATCGAACGCACGTTTGACGAAAGTCAAAATCGAAGCGGGGTCTGAGCAGATGGGTCGGCGGATCGCGCCGCATCGCCGATGCATCGACGAGGCGGCTCGATGTGGAGCCCGATGTTTCCCAACGCCGACGTCGCGGATGCGTCGCCGATGCATCGCCGATGCATCGCCGAGACATTGGCGTTGCATTGACGATGCGGCGCGATTCTTCGGCCCCATCTGCCCAGACCCCATCTGGGAGGCCTCTACTTCACGAACAAAATGATGTACGCAGGAAGTCGAACAAATGCACGGGGAAAATGGAGTCCGAGCAATTTCGAGCTGGACCTGATCAAAGATCCGTCCTCCAGAGCGGTGAGCCCCCTCCCCTCCCTCCCCATCTCTAGGCCACCTGGATGGGGTCGGAGTACACGGGGTCGGAGGGTCGTGCCGCATCGCCGATGCATCGACGATGCGGTTCGATGCGGAGCCCGATTTTCCCCACGCCGACGTCGCCGATACATTGCCGACGTCGACGCCTCATCGCCGGTGCATCGCCGATGCCTCGCCGATGCATCGCCGATGTATCGCCGATGTATCGGCGATGCGGCGCGGTCCTCCGACCCCATCTACTCCGACCCCATCTAGGAGGCCTCCACCATCGGGGGCAACGCTTGGGGAGGGGATGGGCTCAGGGGGGATGCATCGTCCGCCAATCGCTGATGCAGTCGGGCCGAGGTATTAGATCGAGGTCGGTTCGGGGAGGGTGCCCTGGTGTTCTTAGTGCTTGTTGGATGTGTTTGTGCATCCTGCGGAGAGTACCCTTGCATGTTCTGTGTGTTTGGGCCGGCGGAGAGCCTCGTGCTCTTAAAGGATGATCTTCTGTTCTAGGTCCGATTGTAGCCCACCCCGCCCAGGAATTTGCGGTTCTGATGTTAGCGCCCTACCGCCGACCCAGCGGCGACGGACCATTGATTCCAGCTCGATATGTTCCCCTCCCTGAGCCGGTCCCCCCCTGACGTTCCCCTTAGGACACCGCAGGGATTGACTTGAAATCCATCCGGCAGAGTTGCTCGTCCTCTCATATCCGTCCATCCCCAATGGACCCTTCCTCCCTCTCCTCCCCTCCTCCCCCTTACCGCCGCGGGACCTCATCAGAGCAGGTATTGATTGTCATTGCCTTCCGATGGCAGAGGCGCCCTCGCTTGTCTAAGGCTTCCTGGCAGGCACTGCCCCTGTGGATAGATGAACCGTGCCCAGTGCCAGGCGTCACTGTCTCTTGCCCACCATCGGTGGAGCGCCGTTGCAGGGGGTTCCTCTTCGACAGAGCACGGCGTCCTCGCTCATGCCACCGTCTCACCACCGACGACATGGCCTTTCGTACCGTTTTCAAATCATCGCCTCTTGATAGTGGAAACTAGAAGCAACACGGCTCACCGAAACGGTGAAACAGTGGTTCATTGCAACGGCCTTTGGCAGCCCTGAGATCCGAAGGACGTTCGGAGCCCGTTCGTAAACGGCGGGGATGCGGTAACAAAAATGGTGATTTGTAGCAGGCCTCAACCAGAGAAGACGCAAACGGTAAAGCAATGGCGCCAGAACTGTCAGAACCACGGTGCTGGATCATCTTGCGAACAATACACGCACGAACACGAATAATGCACGGGGAATGGACGTCCGATCGATGGCCAGTTGAGCGCCCCCCTCCTGGAGGCCAAGCACCAGGGCACCTTTGCCCACCACGAGCAGCCGCAGCCGGCGCCCGAGCAGGAGGGCAGCTGCCACACGGCCGTCAGCGGCGAGACGTGCCACAAGGACCTCGCCCTCCTCCTCCCTGCGCCCCCTCTCGCCTCCTCGCTGTTCGACGGCGGGCGAGGGGGGGAAGCGAGCAGGCGAAGGCTTCCTCGGAAGGCGGCGGGGCTTCTCAGAAGGCCGCGGCGGGGCTTCTCAGAAGGCCTCTGGCCTTCTGAGGAGTGTTCTCTGCCCTCGGGGAAGGCATATAGAACACTTCGCAGAAGGCCGGGGGACCTCCGAGCCTTCTGAGGGGGCCCGTACCCTCTCTCTTGCCCCCCGGAGGGGCATTCGGGGAGCTCATCGCTCTGCCCGCTGGCAGCGACGGGGACGATCCACGGCTACAGTGGAGACCCATGCCACGAAGCACCCTGCCTGCCTCCAGGGTGCCTTGGGTTTCGTGGGTTTTGGTGTTTCTGCGATGGAAAGCGCGACATCCCTACACCAAAAGTCATGGACGTCCTGGGGTCTCAGGGTCGGGTTCCTTTGTGGAAGGTTTCTTGTGGTCGAGCTCCCACTGTAGCCTACCTCGCTCCCTCGCCCGCCGCCCTTCTCTACCGTCTCCCTGCAGGCCCGGCCGCGCTGCGCGCGGGCCACTGTCGAGGGCCCATGCTGAATGGTCTGCAGGCTGCGGGCAGCGCCCGCACGACCAGCGCTCATGAATGACCGCATGGTCCGCGCACCGAGCAAGCGCAGTGCGTCTCTCAGGCAGTGGCGAGGCGTCCTGGCCTGCCTCTCGGCCCACCGAAGAATGTGCCAAGAACTTTTGGTTGCACGACGTGTTCTCAGAACACGTCTGGCTGGACACTGCTCTGTTTTTTAGCGCCTCGACCTTGCGTTCTGCTTGTTGCGTGCTCTTAGAACGTCCTTATGTTCTAAGAGCAGTTCGTGGTAGGCCTGTGGGACTGCCGGGACGGTCGGTCCCTGCTCAAGTCTCAGGGGCGCAAGAGTCAGGAGGGGAAAAACACACACAGACACAATTGATCGGCGATTCCCAGAAAATATGGGAAAATATGGGAAGTGGGGGGGAAGACAAAAACCCAGAAAATATGAGAAAAAATGGGGAATATTTTTATTTGTGTGTATTTATTTGTGTGTCCCAACTCCCCTTCAAAGAGGCAGTGTCGAGGTCAGGCGCAGCACGGCAGCTGCCCCCTCTTCGCGGCACCGGGTGCCCTCGCGGGATCCTGGCGCCCGTCGGCGCCCGCGGCTGCACCGGTGAACGCAAGAGGTTTCGCCCGTCGGCCTCTCTCGCTCGCTGCTGTTTCGCTCGCAGGGGCCAGCATGGCCTTCGGTCGGTGATGGTAATGATGCGTGCCAGGATTTCGGGGATTTCTCATGTTGCCGTACGCTCCGCACGGGCTGCAGAAGCGAGTGTTGCCAGATGCTGTGGAACTCCTGGAAGGTCTCTTGATCGTGGCTCAAGAGACGGGGATCAAGCAAACAGGTGTCATGCAGAGCGCCGGATCTTGCAGGATCCTGCAGGGCCAGGGGTGCATTGACCCGGGCCTGGGTGCAGGATCCTGCAGGTTCGTGCAGGATCCTGCAAGGCTAGACTGACCTGATTCTGGATTGACCCGGGTCAGAAGCACCCCGGCATGAGCCAATCGTATCATGACATTATCATCATTATTGTCCAATGGTCCTTCCAGACTCTGGGGCGGACTGTTTTTCCCCGAACGCTGCATGCACTTGGGGGATTCCGCTCATCTCATCTTCTTTAAAAAGCAATTGATTGGTACAGGCCTCGCAAGATATCAGCGAACACTCTTGCCGTATTCATCTGTCAATGCCCCTCCAAAGATCAATGTTGGCGGTGGGTTGAATTAGGGGGCCACGTGCGCACCCTACCCCTGCCCCCCACGATCTCTGAGGGCGAGGGTGGGGTTCACTTCGCTCGGGAGCTCCCGAACGAAGCGAACCCCACCCTCCCCCTCAGAGATCGTGGAGGATAGGGGTAGGGCTCGCACGTGGCCCCCTTATGGATGAGCTGCGCTTAGACCGCGGTCTTCCGCCCCCGCGCGCGCCAATTCTGAGCCTGGGGGAGCGGGCGCTGCTTGTTTCCCCCTGCCGTATTGCAGGCTTCTCGCCGCGGTGCGGCCCGTGCCGCCAAGGTGGGCGCCCCGGGCGCGCCCCACCACGCCTGGGGGGGGGATGCTCTCAAGTCGTGCGCTTCCCTCCCTCTCCACAGGGGGAGTACTCGAAAACAGTAGAAAATAGTCTGGAGATGATTTTGTTTTACGATTGGTTGACTATGTTTGAGCATTCTTGGAGGATATTTTGTTTTTCGTCCAAAGTCCGCCTGTAGGGGGGGGTGGCGTGCACACAGCCTGCACCGCATAGATTGCACAGCGTGGCTTACATCACATTGCGTGCACCTCACAGTTCCCACCTCCAGTTCGCGCCGCCTAGCTTACACGACATAGCTTCCACCTCATACACTATTCCGCATAATGTTCACTTCCCCGGCTGACGCCACATAGCTTAATTGACATATATTCCATTGCATAGCTTACACTGCATGGCTTTCATCCCCACCGTGAAACAGCTTCCTGTTCGGGGCCCGCGCGGGCTAACATGCTCATTTCCCGTGTTTTCTTGCGTTTCGGGCTCCAGGGGGTCGTCTTCGGGCCTTGGGGCAGTCAGGAAGACCTGGGACGAGAAGTTCTCCCCGGGGAAGGGGTCGAGACCTCCTGGGGCCCGCGGATCGACGAATCGCGACCCTCTGCGTGCGCCCTTCATCTGTGTTTTTTTTCTTCCCGCTCCTTTCGTCGTCCTCTTTCGCTCGCTGTCGCTCTCTCTCTCTTGCTCTTCGCTTTCTTCGTCGTCTCGCCCCCTCCTGCTTCGCCCGCGGTGCCGTGTAGCGCTGGCTCGGCGTCGTGGCCTCTTTCTTTTCCGCACGAACGACGCCGCGAGGGTGTCCGCTCGCGGTCGCGATCAAAAAACAAAAGTGCGCCCATCAGCCAATCCAGAAACGCTGCTCAGGCGATTTGCCAGAATCAGGGAAGCGTAGCAGCAAGCAGTTAAACAAAGAGGGGGATCAGCCTGAGCAGTCCCAGGAGTCAACCATAAGTGCCTTCGCGGATCTGTCGATGTGGGAGTCTCTCGCATGTCTAAAGGCTTGCATAGTCTCGGGACCCTCTCAGGGCCATTTTGGAGTCTTGCGAGGCTCTAGTCCGTGGGGGCATCTTCACGGCCCTCCTGGGCCGATCCAGAACGCCATCGATCAAAGACGGGGCTTCTCAGTTAGCGTCAGAATTCGCGCATAGTGCGGTTTTTTTTTGCGTCGCTGCCGGGCGATTCTTCGGGACGCCTTGGATCGTTGATGACCCACTCACGGGGCCCTCTTGGGCGATCTGGGATCCATCGTGACCGAGGCTTCAGAACCCAATCGGGAGCGAAAAGCAGCGAAAACAACGAACGCATCAAATGGCCACCTGGACCTAACTTGAGGAGGTCTTGGAACACATCTGGGGGCACACTGAATGTCATTGTGAGCCATCCTGCGCCATCTTCTGTGGCGCCACCATCAAGACCCAGGGGACGGGGTTGGGCGAGGGGTCAAGCCACCTCCTGTTCACACGGCACAAGGCGTCCCGTTCATTCCCACCCGCCCTCCCAACACATAAGTAGCACCCGAGTCCCTTTGGCAAACACCAATGCCGAGTGGTCGCGTGGCGTCCGAACATGTTCCAGATTTGAACGGGTATTGAATTGTGCATTGCAGTTTGGAAAGGGGGTTTTGGCCTGCGCGCAGCAAGCAGTGTGAGGGAATCCGCACCGCCCCTGTCGAACACAAATGCAAAGTGGTCGCGGGGGCCCCGCGCATGCACCAGATTTGGCGGCAGCTGTTATGTGTTGTTTCCTTCCCACCTAGCAGGTCGGGGTCGTTAGTTTTGAAGAACACACTTCCCGACCATACCAAATCATACCATGACTACGCTCACCACGGCCGAACGCGGCACAGCACAACATAGCAGAATTTGACATAACATATTAGCACACTGGCACATGTCTTACCATACCATGGCAGATCCGATCACACCAGAACGCAGCATACCAACATGCAATGACAGAGCGGCGTATATACAATGTAACAGCACCACGCATCGCAGCATTACAGAGCATAGCATACCATGACATGACATATCATACCACGCCATTGCGCAACACCTCATACCATGAAACTGCATCACCACAAGGAGCATTACATACCATACCATTGAGTACCATCACAGAGCGCGGTGTATCATCTTGTGCAGAAGCAAGGGATAGCAGAGCATTCCAGAGCATGAACCAACATACCATGACGGACCAGAGCATGACGCAATTCCGCATCGAGCATAACGTAACATACCACCACAAATTCTGCCATAGCAGAGCACAGTATATCACAACGTGTCACACCATAACCTGGCATGCCAGAAGCGTTTTAGTACTTCCCCACATGTTTCGTGGGGTTCTGGGTTTTTCCCTTCCGCGTCTCACCCGCGTCTCCTCCTTCTCCTCCCTCTCCTTCTCTGCGCAGGGCACGGCAGGCGTGGCAGTTTCTCGACACCAGAGGGGGTGCGCAGGGGGTGGTCCCTGAGCGCGGCGTCTATGCGGGCCATGGCGCAGGGCACGGCAGGCGTGGCAGTTTCTCGACACCAGAGGGGTGCGCAGGGGGTGGTCCCTGAGCGTGGCGTCTATGCGGGCCATGGCGCAGGGCACGGCAGGCGTGGCAGTTTCTCGACACCAGAGGGGGTGCGCAGGGGGTGGTCCCTGAGCGCGGCGTCTATGCGGGCCATGGCGCAGGGCACGGCAGGCGTGGCAGTTTCTCGACACCAGAGGGGGTGCGCAGGGGGTGGTCCCTGAGCGCGGCGTCTATGCGGGCCATGGCGCAGGGCACGGCAGGCGTGGCAGTTTCTCGACACCAGAGGGGGTGCGCAGGGGGTGGTCCCTGAGCGCGGCGTCTATGCGGGCCATGGCGCAGGGCACGGCAGGCGTGGCAGTTTCTCGACACCAGAGGGGGTGCGCAGGGGGTGGTCCCT